TTTTTTGTTTGCTTGCGTCTTGCTTATGTGTGGCCTCCAACTGATTTTTCTGTGGGTCAGCAGGCCCCGCCCCCAAAAAGGTTCTGTTCTTAGAATCATAGAACCATAGAGCTGGAAGAGACCTCAGAAGGTCATCAAGTCCAGCCCCCTGCTCTAGGCAGGACCAATTCCAACTAAATCAACCCAGCCAGGGCTTTGTCAAGCTGAGACCTATTCATTCCCTCTGAAGCACCCGGCACTGGCAACTGCTGGAAGACAGGATACTGGTCTAAATGGGCCACATGTCTGACCCTGTATGGCTGCTCTTGTGTTCAATGAGAGGGGAAACAGGATGCCAGTCGTAAGAGCCAGATCAGCTAACAGGCCACTGTGCAGTCCCGTTGGCTTCCACCCTAAAATAATACAGTTGCTCTTCCCTCAAGCTTGCAGTGACCCATTTTCCCATCCTGTCAGAAAAGCCAGCGCTCTCAGGGCTCTGACATGCTCCAGGCTCTTTTATCAACCACCACAGCATTTAAAAAAAAAATCTTGGCATGCCTGTTGACGCTTCACTGGTTTGTGCAGACAAGGCTTTGAAGCAGGTATCACGTGCCTCTGAGACTCTAGTGCAACCCTGAATGTCAACAGCAGCCACAGTCCGTATCAAGGGTCCCATGGCATCGCAGAGCCCTCCCTATGCCAGTGCCTTTCACAGCAAAACAGGTTCTGGCTACAACTGGAGGTACCTCTACATTGCAGTTAGAGGAGTGATCTTCCAGCGTGGGTAGCTGCTCCTGGGCTAGCTTTGATTGGGCTATAGTGCTAAGAAGAGCAAGATAGCCATGGTGATGTGGGTGGTAGCACAGGCTACCCATCTGTGTACACAGCTAGGGTCTCTCCTGGGAGCGTACAAAGGGGCCACCATAGCTATGCTGATATTTTAAGCATGATCAGAGCTAGCATGGGTACACCTATCAAATCCGCAGATCCTGCTGCTGTGTAGAAACACCCTGAGAAGGTAGAGTGGCGTTAGGATCTGAATGTGACATTATCCGATTAAAATATGTTGTTACAAACACAGTTAACAGATTTGCAACCAATCTTGCATAAAAGTGAGCCAAGCGAGGTGTCACTGTAAAGCTTTTTGTTTTGCTGGTTACGATTAGGCTATTTGTATGCACACATCATTTTTGTATTTGGAGTTATGAGTTTTGGCTAGGTACTTGCATTTCAAATGTCTGCTTCTGGGACACACCAAAAGGAGGTTTGGCCAGCCTTTTGTGAAGGAAGTACTGAGACTGAAGAGAACTACTTGACTGACAATGGATTGTGGAAGGTGCCAATTCATACAGGATGAGCTTTCCTGTGAACATCAGCCTAGCACGGGAACAACAGCTTCTATCTGTAAGCTAACAGTCATGTACGGACAAGTGATGGGCTCATTGACAAACTTTATCTTGTGGCCTACTTTTCCAGTGAGAACAATGGGATTCCCTCCACATGGCCAAGGATATACAAGGCCCTGAGGACTCCTCCATTTGGTTTTCAGTCATGCTCCTTACTCTGAAAGATCTTTGCTACAAACTGAAGCTCTAAACCAAGGTTTGGCAACCTTTTCAAACCCAAGAGCCAAACCACATCAACATTCAGAACAAGTGGTCAACAAAGAGCCATGTAAGAATGCCCATTTGCATAACTGGAAATATACCACTTACTATTATTGATAATTGACATGATGATTAATAAGAGCATCAATGAAACATTGAACTCAGACTAATTAATGGGACTTCAGCTGCTGCATCTTTTCACACATTTCTTTGACGTTTACATCATAACTAGTTAAATCCAGCTTCATGCACATATTCAAGCCGCCTTCTGTCAACCTTATGGCAGGGGTCTGGAGATGTGGGGGTACAGAAGTCTGGGTTGGGGTGTAGAAGGGGCTCAGATATATGATGGGCTCAGGGCACTGCATTGGGGTGTGGGGTGCAGAAGTGTTATGGCAGGGAACTAGGGATGTGGGGGTGCAGGAGTCTGGGTTGGAGTGTAGGAGGGGCTCAGGGCAGGGGGTTCGGATAGATGATGGGCTCAGGGCACAGTGTTGGGGCGGTGCAGGAGTGTTATGGCAGAGAACTAGGGATGTGGAGATACAAAGGACTCCGGGCAGGGGGTTCAGGTATATGATGGCTTCAGCGCTGGGGTACTGGAAGGTGCAGGAATGTTACGATGCTGGGGGGGCTTATTGCTCAGGCTTCATTTTTAAATAAAGTAAAATATTATGTCCAACACAAAAGGTTTCAATATTATCTTTATGGCAGGGGTGGGGAACTTTCTTGGGGCCAAGGGCCACAGAAAAATCAATTGGGGACCACACAAGTGAGAAGCGAAAAAACAACCCTACCAAAAAACCCAACCCTCACTGCTGTGGCCCTCAACGGAGACACCTCACTCCCCTGGCACTCCAGTCCCATGCAGAAGGGAGGACTGAGGTTTAAGGGATTCCAGGATTAATGGATTTTGTGGACCCCCTAGGCTCTAGGGTGGGGCCAAAAATGAGGGGTCCAGTGTGCGGGACAGAGCTGCCAGTGAGTGGGATAAGGATGGGGGTGCAGGAGCAGGCTGGGGGTAGGGTGTTTGGCCAGGGGAGAGGGGGCAGGAGCAGGCTGGGGGTGCAGGGTCTGGGTGGCATTTTTTTCCCCAGTGTCTGTAACAGGATTTATTTTCTGAAACAGATGCAAGTCACTCCCAGGCGGGGGGGAGGATGCAGGAGCAGGGGGGGGGTTCAGGGCCTGTGCATGGAGGGGTGGGGGGTACAGGGTCTGGTACTTACTTTTTTTCCTAGTGTTCGTAACAGGGTTTATTTATTGTAACAGATGCGAGTCACTCCCACATAGCAGCCAGCCACTGCTCCACACGGGTCATGGGCCCAAGGGCTGAGTGTGGAATGGAGGCCATGCCTTGCCAGGAGCACAGGGAGTCCAGCCAGTGGGTCCAGGAGTGGATGAGAACAGGCCCGCTCAGTTGTGCTTCTTGTAGCGCTCCAGGCAGGCCAGGATCCAGCCCGCTGGCCCCAGGAAGAAGGTGCTCATGCCAGTGATGTACTCCAGCAGCCCCTCGGGGCTCTCCGGCGGGTGTGAGTGCACAGGCCGCGTGAATGGTGAGAGGCGGGGGCGGAGCAGTGCACAAAGCAGCAGGGACACGGCCATGGCAGCAGCAGGTCCTCCATGGACAAGATGGGGCTGGGTCGATGGCTTCCCACTGCTCCATTGGCCAGATTCTGGCCAATGGAGCAGCGGGAAAAGCCTCAGGCAGCGTGTCTGTGTGCTGCTTTGTTCCCCCGCCAGGAGAGGAGGAAGGGGAGTGTGCATGCACATGGAGCCATTTGTGGCTCTGGCTTCTTCCCCGATCGCACAGTGAGGCTTGGGGCCTTCTCCACCCTTCCCCCCAGTAGGAAGCTGGGGCTGGCTCCAATCTTGCAAGGGGCGCAAGGCTGGATTGCCAGCCCGTGTTCCCCCTTGTGGGGGAGGTAAAGAGGGGACTGAGCTCAAGCTGAGAGCCACGTTTGGCTCTTAAGTGAGCCATATATGGCTTGCAATCATAGGTTGCCGACCCCTGCTCTAAACAAAGGACTGAACGACTCGTCCAGGCTGTGGATGTACTCAAGAGACTTGACTGAAGCCAGCAATTTCTTCCATCACTGCTACTAGCCTGAATCAACAACTCTGCAATTGTTGTATTGGATTCCTCCTTTAATAATTAATTCACTTTTTTCCTTTTATGAATAAATGTTTACATTTTAGATTCTATAGGACTGGCATGGGCTATGGGTGTTAAATATTGGTTACTGAATAGTTGACCTCACGGATTCTTATTGGTTAGTCAACTATTCTACAGTTCCCAGGGGTGGGGCCAAAAGCCAGTGCACTCTGGTCCCACTCCCAAGGAGTCCGCTGCCCCTCCACGCTGCTGCCTCCGATACAGAGGCAGCAGCATGGGGTGCCAGATGGGAGCTGTTAATTGGCGTGCCTTTTGGGTAAGAGTCTAAGTTACAAATTGACCTGGGAATGTGACTGGTCCTTTGGGGATGGGAAGAACCTGTTCAGATTTGGTGAGATTGGTTCTCATAACCTCTTATCTGTGTAAGGAATGCTGTTGGTAGTGATATTGCCCCCTCTCCCTTTGAAATGTGCAGTCACCCGCAGCTCTTGTGTATTTCAAAGGGAGAGAGGCAGCCGGAACCTGCACCAGCAAGAGGGAAGCAGTCTCCACTGGTGCAGGTTCCCCTCTATGCCTCTCCCTTTGAAATGTACAAGAGCTGCAGGTGGCTATTGTACATTCCAAAAGAGAGGTGCAGCAGTTGGATCAGCACGAGATGGACTTTTCAATCCCCGCTCAGCAGTTTCCCCTCTGCCCCTTCCTGCTCCCCCTGCAGAGATAGTGCTGGGGGGAAAACCGCTTTTAAGCAGACTCTTCTTCCCCCCCCCACACACACACCTACTCCTGCTCCCCTTCACCTGCCTTGCAGCCTCTCTCTGAGAGGCAGCAAGTGGGAGGAAACGATTAGTCAAGTTCGTACTTGACTACTTGATAAGCATTTGCTTATCAGGTAGTCGACTAGTCGCTTACATCCCTAATTGGGAGGCTAAAAATCTTTTACACTGAAGTCTCCTAGGACTTAAAAGGGATAAAACCATTAGAGTACTACAGAAATATATTACAATTTTGTAGAAGGGTATTCTAAAATCGTAAAGAATGTAGCAGGCAAAGGAGAGCCTTTTACATATTCTTCCTGGGGGATTCTCTAGTATTTCATAGTACAGATACGTTCCCATTCAAACCCCACAGGATGATTCTGCAAGCTGTATAGAAAGGTTACCACTTTCTAATAAATGTTAGAGAACTTTTCCATAAAATAAGGAAAACAGAAGACAAATCCAAATCAATTTCTCTCTCATAGGTGTGCGTACGTACACACACACACACACACACACCCACCCACCTACCCACCCAAAGTCTCTTACTTTTTTCTTACTGCAGTAGATTTGCCATTTCTTTTCTGCCGGAAGTGCAAACATGGCCTCTCGGTGTTTGTCTGTAAGGTCAAGTTCATCCTGCAAGGGGAACATATTAACAGAGAATTATAATCACAAATAAAAAACCATTCAAGTAAGTGATATAAGTCAATGGAGAGCTATAACATAGCATATTGACTGTCATTCAACCAACCTCCCTCCTTTCTAAAGGCTATTGATTGATCAATCATGATCAATAAAATAACTTTATTATTCATGACCCCTGTTTAACTTTGGCATTCCAGAAGCAAGTAGGCTATAAATCCCTCTGCACTGTTCCTTCTGGAAAACATCCTTATTACATTTAGAAAGGCATGCATTTTACCAAGCAAGAATTGGAGCCAAGCTTCCAATACATTACAGCAGGATGAAAATAACAGTTAAAGCTCCGTATCAAATAATATGTCTAAGACGAGCATGATGTAGAATAGTTAACTATGACCTTGCCAGCCAACTTGAATAATTACTTCTGCTATGCACATCCCTATGGAATCAGACTTATTTGTATTATTGGTAACACAGAAGGCCCAACCAAGATTACTGCCCCATAATGCTAGGCTGAGATGGCAGGAGCCAATGCATGCCTAGGGAGGTTGTGGATAAGCAGGTTAGACAGACATTTATAAAGGATGATTCAGAAGGTACTTGGTGCTGCTATGAGGGTAGGGGACTTGAATGGATGACCTCTCAAGGTCCCTTCCAGTTCTAGTGTTCTATGATTCTATATCCCAATAGATTTTATAGTTTAAACACACAAGACAGGTACATGGTTGGGAAAAGGAATTGGAATCATCTCCATTTTACAGATGGGGAACTGATACAGACTGAAGATAAGTGACTTGCTCAAGGTCACAGAGAAAGGCTGTAGAAGGGGCAGAACTGAACCCAGATCTGCAGAGCCCCAGGCCCAACTCCATTGGAAATATAAATTGTGCTTTTTTGTAATTAAGGAATTGCAAAGAGATGTTTCACTGCCCTAGAGTTCCTGTTGTGTCCAGGTTTAAGACAGCTGTTAGACTGGCCACATTTTTTTTTTTTTTGCTTACAGAGAAACCACCTACTTTTCCTATCAAGTCTCGCTGAGAAACATGCCAGCCATCAGGAGAACAGAACATTCTCACAGCATCGGCCTCTCGTAGCTAGAGATACATCAAGGCTTTTATCATGAAATTAAATAAATGAAGGTCCAGGCAGAACAAAGATTTGTTTCCAAAGCCCACATTGATCCTAAGGATGTAGATTTTCAGCAAAGAATCGGACACAACCTAAATCATATGGTCTCACGGATGTTTTGTTGCTGTAGCTAGACAATTCCATTCTTGACCATCCATGTAACAAATGGCCCCAGGAACAGACCAGTGGATGCATCACCTCAGGATCTGGGAGACAAGCGCTAAAGCTTGCCTTAAAAAAAAAAACCACACACACACACACACACACACACACACACACACAGAAAAATTTTTGTTGGGGAAAAAAAGACCCAGAGAGAGTTACGCAAAAAAAAATTTTTTTAATTAAAACACACACCATGGCCCCTTTAAGAACAGGAGGGGCTGGGCTCTGCCTCTCCTAACAGGCTGCTGACAGCTGGTGGCGATCTTGCCTCCCTCCCTGCTCGGGCCAGACAGCTCCCCTGTGAAAGACTAAATGATTTCTTTGCTTCAGTCTTCACAGCTGATGATGCTAGGTGAGTAGGGTTGCCAGGTGTCCAGTATTGACCCCGGACAGTCTGGTATTTTCGCCCCCTGGCTGAGAAAAAAAATAAATCAGAAAATAACGGACATTTTAAGTGTCTGGTATTTTCTGAATTTTTTTTTAAATCAGACAGGAGCTGTCAATACCCGACACCTGGCTACCTTCCTGAGAAGCTAGCAGGGGCCATTCAATGGACCAGGGCCTGATTGTCCTGAGTACAGTGAAAACACAGAACAAGGATGAGAACCCCACCTCACGCGATTGACAAGTCATGCAGGTAGGGTTGCCAGCTTTGGCTGGATGTATTCCTGGAGGTTTCAATCACATGACTATCTTTAATTAAAGATTAATCTTTAATTCCCAGAGACTCCCAAACAGTCATGGAGGGCTGGCAATCCTCTGTGCACCAGCCCAGCCAGTATAATCCAGGCATATATTACGTTTAGTACAATCTAGGATACAGGAAAGTAAGCCTGCATTTTGCAAAATAAGACCTAGAAACTATGGCCATGCATGCACAAGCCACACCGGTTCATATTTTAAGTCACCCTGTTCAGAGGCATATGCCCTCACTTTTTGGATAACAATAAAAAAGAGTTTTTAAAACTGATGCATTACCAATGCACCCCTCCTGAGATAGCATTGTGCACAATGCTATTTACTTACAGTACTTGTATGGGGGGGGGGGGGGGTAACAGCCAAAAGTGAGCTAGATTCAACTTTATTTAAAAATCTAATTCACATATTTGATTTCACTTTCAAAAGCAAATAGTCCAGCTCACAACAGGCATTTTGGAACCTTTTTGATTTACACACACATTGAGAAGCTTTACATTTTATATTTACTGATAATGTGTTCAAATTAATGTGCTGACTTTGGTATTCTTGTTTAACAAGATTTTTCAACAAGATTTTTCAATGAAGTCCTGGATTTCTAGAACCATCAAGAACTACGGTAATCATTAGTTTAAAAAAAATGTATCAAGCAAAGTAGTTAAGTCTGGGAAAGAGAAAGGAATAGAACTCTAAGCACAAATGGACAGTAAAAATTCCCTTTTTTTTTAAAACCTAGGAAGCACAATAGGTAAGCCCTGCATTAGGGCATGAGCCAGCATCTGCAGAAATCTGATGATCTTGTGGCTAAGGAAAGGACTGGGACTTGAGAAATGAGGACTTTGCAACAGGTTTTCTCTATAACCTACAGCATTTTACAATCTTTGTACCCCATCTGTAAAATGGTGATAATACTTCCTTTCTCCTAGCCTTTTCTCTGTTTATTTAGGTGGTAAAGCTCTTTGGAAAAAACTTTGTTGTTTCTTAATATGTACATGTAGTACCCAGCACAATAGGGTATTGATCTCAGACAGGGCCTCTACACACGGATATAAATACCGTATATACTCGAGTATAAGCCGGCCCGAATATAAGCCGAGGCACCTAATTTTACCCCAAAGAACTGGGAAAAAATATTGACTCGAGTATAAGCCTAGGGTAGGAAATGAGGCAGCTACTGGTAAATGTAAAAAATGAAGATAGATACCAATAAAATTACATGAATATTTATTTCAAAGAAAAACAATAACCTAGCTCTGTAAGTGGAAAAGGGGGTCAACAAAAACAATATGGTATCAAAAATACCATAACTTTAAAAGTACAACAACCTTAGCTCAATCAGCAACCAAGCTAACACACAAGAGCTAAAATCCTTCAAAACTGGAGTTCTCCTCCTCATCATCTGTATGTCCAAACAGAGCTTCAGCTGGTGTGAGGTTATCAGCATAGACATTGTCATCATCACTGAGTTCACAGTCATCACCATCACTGCTGTCGTTCTCATACAAAGCGCTGTCTTCACTGCCATCCATAGCATTACTAATGCCACATTTCTTGAAGGCGCGTTGCACCAGGTCCTCTGGAATCTCTTCCCATGCATCACGAACCCACTGTGCTATCAATTCGCTCGGGGGCCCGGCTCCGCTCCGTTCCGCGGCCGGGAGCGCCTCCGCGGCCGGACTCTTTACGGGAAGTCGGAAGGGTCTGAGCGGGGAAGCGGTAGGTGAAGGGGCGGCCGGGGAGCGAGGGGACAGGGGGGCTGAGAGGGTCAGGAGGGCAGGGGCTGGGGGGCCGGAGCTCCGGGCTCACGCGTCTAGACCCAGCCGGCGACAGAGACGCGCTGAGCCCGCCCGCGAGCAGGAGGCTGACTCGAGTATAAGCTGAGGGGGGGGCATTTTTCAGCACAAAAACTGTGCTGAAAAACTCGGCTTATACTCGAGTATATACGGTAAATGTTATTAATGGCTAACACAAATCTATTGATGGCTGAGCATGGGAGACTATTTTTGAAATTATGCAACTCACATGGAACAGGTTTTGAAGACTGCCATTGCTTTACATTTTAAAGTTAGACTCTCACAGTGATATCTACAACAGTGTAAACAACTTGTGGAGAAGTTCGAGATTTACTGGCCTAAGTGGAAATAGAAATCAAGGCACAGATTGAGCAGAGTGAAGAATAGATTTTTTGGATCACTGGCAATTCTGAAAAACTGGTTTGGTGGTTGAACCAAACACTTTCCCAAAAGTTTTCAGTAATTGAAAAATTTCGAGTTAGATTGGAACTTTTCCTTTTAACACAATTTGAAAACACACACATTTTGGTCAAAATGCCTGAAACCAAAACAAACCAAAAGATTTTCTCAGGTTGTTTTGTCAGGCTAAAGGGGATGACCGAGGTTGACAGTTCAGCTCTGGTGAAGACTCACAAGGGATAAAAAAAACCCAGTAAGAGTAGGACACAAGGTGGGCAAGCAGACACTAGATTTTTTTATATATGCTTTCAAGAAGTAAATATGGATTTACCCTTAACACATCCAGTTGCACTATATCCAATTTCCAGCAAGTTTAATTGTAGAACATAGCACTGCTTTACTTAGAATCACCTACGCACAGGCATCCTCTGCTTGAAAGAGGCATGTTTAAGTCAATAACATATGGCAAAAAATGAATGAGAAATTCTCCATTATCAGTGACTAATGGGTGTTATTGCCAGCAACAAAAACATAAAAAGTGAAGGCCTGATTCTGAACAGTCATTTAGATTCATTGTAAGGCCACTTCTGGCTTTTTGGATTTTATGCACACCTACAAAGGATTTGTATCCCAGGAACCAGTTATAGTATTCTGTTCCATCAACACTCAAAATTACCCTGCCATTAATTGTCCTTCAAACCCACACTCCATTTGAAACCATGGGCAGAAGAGGGCTTCAAACATTTGGAATAGAATTCAACAGCTCAAGCATCAATTCATCAGGCTCACTTGCAACTATACCACAGCATCAGAACAGTACACAGCTGCAGTGTGCAACCTCAGAATCCTGCGCAGGTCCAATTAACAACCATGCACGGAATAATTAGACATCGGGTAATCCTCGCTGAGGATTAACTTAAGCCCATTTGCGATTTGTTGCTCACATTCTTAAATGGGATGAAGCTGGTTCCACTCTCAGTGATGGAGGGAGAACACAGGCATAGTCTAGCATTACAGAGGGTGTGCACCCCCTCTCCATTTCAGCTCTGCCCCCCCCATTCCTGGCTTGCTTCCACAGACAGACCTACCATTTTAAATATTCTATTTCGATTACACCTAAGGCACTTAAAATAACAGACTGAGTCTGCTACTAAAAGGAAGTCTCAAGCCACAGTGTTTTTACTGGAAACAGATATGCTACTTTCAAATGTTTATCCCATACAGTTAAACTATTAACCTTTAGACAAGGAAACCCATTTGCACGTCAAAACTATTTGAAGATGAGTTTGAAAGCATATTATGGATTTATTTCAAACAGCTTTATACAATATATCAGCATAAATATTTGCTTTGCTAACATCTCAGGGCATTTCACTTGAAGCAACTGCGACTTTCCTGAAATCTCTCCCCTCCAAGCTGCTAAGATATAGTAGTATCTTTCTCTCAAAGTTCGTTTTAAAACGAGGTGTGTTTTAAGCTCCTTACTTTCAATGGTGAATGGCAAAGAATTTGAAGCACAACTGTGTGTTTAGTGTAGTTTCCTTTCCTGGAGAGTGGCAGCAAATTCTACAATGTGGGGCAACAAACGTGTGTGGAGTAATAGCGCTGAAGGGTACAGAAGCAAACAAGAAAGTAACAAGAGCTACAGTGATGCAAGGTGGGTAGGCCATGCCAAAGGAACAAGAGTTCCTGCCTTGAAAGAGTTTACAGTTTAAAAGCACAACCACAAGACAGAGCTCGGAACATGCTACAGAACTGGTGGTTGCTCAGAAGTTTTTTTGGAAGGGTGTTTGCAGACCAGTCACAGGCTGTTCCAACAAGGCACAACATCTGGATCATGCAAGCAAGAAAACAGCAAATCAGTGGAGTGAAGCCTAGGAAGCAAGAGATGGGAATGGAAAGACTAGGGCAGAAGTTGGGTTGTGCACATACCTAAAGAAATATGATAAAAAGACCACTCTCTCACTCTAGCAGACAAAGGTACAGCAAGGTACATAGGCACATTTTTAAAAGGAGTGAAGATAGTCAGTCACTGGAGCAGTTTACCAAAGGTTGTGGTGCATTCTCCATCAATAGAGACCTTTCAATCAAAATGGGAGAATTATAGACAGACTGGGGTGGGGTGGCCTGGCCTGTGACCGGAGCTCCTAGGAACTACTACAAGACAGATAAACAATCTGCCAGTCAGCACACATGGCGTCAAAGTCCTATTTACCTCAATGAATTTGTTTTCCCCCCCACACACAGCCAACTTCATAACATGATTACCAGGTGTATGCAAATTCAAGTTCCGTCCTCTGTCTTAACTGGATTTAAGAAAAATTGTGTGGGGACAAAGCATTCTTTTGAAATGCAAACAGCAGCACCACTTTCTTTGTACTGCTGGGAATATTCTTATGAATGGACGTTAAATTATTTTTATACAATAGACTATATGAAGGAACTAAACCCCGTTACTTTGCTGAGATAAAGAAATGAATTGCAGGTTGGGATGCTGTGTGCATTGCTCTTGTCATGCTTTAGGACTGGTCTTTGTTACAGAGCTCAAAAATCTGAAGGGCAGCCGTGTTAGTCTGTAACTTAACAATGAGCAGTCCTGTGGCAACTCACAGGCAAATAAATATATTATATCGCGTTTTCATGGGTAAAGCCAGTTCCCCACCCTCATGGCAGGACCAAGCACCATCTACATCGTTCCTAACTTGTTTGCTTAACCTGCTCCTAAATATCTCCAGTGATGGGAGATTTTACCATCTCCCCAGGCAATTTATTCTAGTGTTTAACCACCCTGACAGTTAGAAAGTTTTTCCTATTGTCCAACCTAAACCACTCTAGCTACAATTAAGCCCATTGCTTCTTGTCCTATCATCAGACATTCAGAATAATTTTTCCTCCCTCCTACCTGTAACACCCTTTTAGGTATTTGAAAGCTGTTACGTCCCCTCTCAGTCTTCTCTTTCCCATGGATGGAAATGATTAGAGGGAACACTGGAGGTCAATATTCTGGGGTGAATAGGAGAGCCTGGTTTTCCTAGAGTTCTGGAGGCCTAAACGTCTCTCTGCTAGAGGGAGATTTCTACCTAAAGAGCCCAGAAATCCTGATTCTGTTTCTGACACTCCCACCCTGTAGGGCAAAAGTGAATTCAACTCTCAGATGGTACAAAGCAAAGAGATATCCCTGGAAGACTATTTTTAGATCTTGTGATTTAACTCCCCAAAGATATTTAGCACAAGCTGGAAGCAGCTGGCGTTATACTATGCAAGTTCTAGCTCTTGTTTAACTAATGATTTTTGTAGCTGTGCTCACATTCCGCTTAATGTCTAGGAAATACTCCTCCTATCCTAATCTTTGCCTTTAAGGCAACCCAATTTGCAAGGCTGGTAAAGATGAGATACTTCATTCTGATGTGCCCTGTAGGGGAGATATTTCTGCTCCAATCTTAAGGCAGTGGCTCAGGTGTGCCTAGGGTTTTTCCACAGTTAAAACACTACCAAGGCACAATTGCACAGCTGTAGTTCTTCAGTGTTCACACAACCTATGCCAATGGGTGGGATTTGCAGTGTGGAGGGTAGATCAACAACTGAAATTTGGAGAAAACTGAATGTTTGCTTTAAGTTTTACAGTGCTTTATTATTTTTGTACTTTTTACACCCAAAAATTTCATCACCCGCTTAGCTACAATTAAGTTGTTTAAACAAATGTGTTGCAATGGTAGAAAAAAATTGTGTCTGAAAACTGTAGGTATTGGGGGTACTTAACTTTTTTTTTTTAAAGTTGTACTTTATAAAAAAAGGTTGCGAAACACCGGTTTAGGTAATCCACCTCCCCAAGAGGTGGTAGCTAGGTAGACAGAAG